ACCAAAAATCAACGATTCTAACTATTTTTCAACGTTGATTTAACATCATGTGCTATCTGGGACTCTATCCCTGTTTTACTGAAGGGCCTGTTTTGATGAGCTTCAGATGAAAAATGTTCAGGTGTGGTTAGTCCTGGACTACATCTGTGATGGAGTCTACATCCTGGATATCGCTGTTCGTCTCCACACAGGTACTCAGTTAGTAATTTGACAGAAGCAAGTCTCTCAGTGTTGCTGTCAGAATAGAAATCCTTATTCAGTGATGTAGATTTTCATTTACATTGTTTGTTTTAGTCCACATCCCTTAGCCTGGGCATTGTTTGTCTATATGTCAAGGTTTTCTAGATCAAGGCTTGTTGGTGAAGGACGTGCGTCGTCTGAGAGAAACCTACATCCGAACACTACAATGCACCCTGGACATCTGCTCCATCCTCCCCACGGACCTTCTGTACCTCATAGTCGGGATGAGCTACACGCCTCTTCTCCGGTTCAACCGCCTGCTGCGGCTCTCGCGCCTATTCGAGTTCTTTGAACGGACAGAAACGCGCACAAGCTATCCCAACGCGTTCCGCATCTGCAAGCTAGTCCTGTACATCCTGGTCATCATCCACTGGAACGCCTGTGTGTATTACAGTTTCTCCAAAGTCCTGGGTCTGGGTTCCGACTCGTGGGTGTATCCCAATGCTTCCGACCCCGAGTTCGGCTCGCTGACCAGAAGCTACATATACTGTCTGTACTGGTCCACTCTGACACTCACCACCATCGGTGAGACCCCTCCGCCTGTCAGAGACGAGGAGTACCTGTTCTTGATATTTGACTTTCTGGTAAGATCGTCATCCCCAAACATGCCGTCCATTGAGTGAACCTGTCCACTGAAGACCGGTCTTTTGGTGTTTCTCTTCCAGGTTGGCGTTCTGATTTTTGCCTCCATTGTTGGCAACGTTGGATCCATGATCTCCAACATGAACGCAACGCGAGTGGGCTTTCAAACCCGTGTGGACGCCCTCAAACATTACATGCACTTTAGGCATGTCAGCAAGGTCCTGGAGCAACGCGTCATTCGCTGGTTTGACTACCTCTGGACCAATCAGAAGACAATTGACGAGCAAGAAGTGCTAAGGAGCTTGCCAAACAAACTGCGAGCAGAAATCGCCATTAATGTCCACCTGGACACACTGAAGAAGGTAAACGCCACTAAACTCCTCTGACATCAGCTTATTCAAGTCTTCGATGCCTTACATTTGCGTAATTAGGCATCATTTTGCTCTATCTACAACAACAGTCTCAAACTCCAGTCATCAAGGGCCGGTGCCCTTCAACTTTTAGATGAAACTGACTCAAATGGTAATCCATCATCAGAGCTCCGTAGCATTTGACTCCATACTAGTGAAGCAGTTTTGCTACTAAATTCATGTGTGTAGGAAAAGGGATACATCTAAAAGTTAAAGGACCCTGGCTTTTGGCTGGAGTTTGAGTCCACTGATCTGGAATGTTCTTTAACGTTCATAAGAACGCTCATCAGAACTTGAATTTTGAATCCCATTTGTCCATAAATTGCCGTGTCTTCAATATTGTCTGTTTCTGTGAATGTGTGCGTGGATCCAGGTGCGTATTTTCCAGGACTGCGAGGCAGGTCTCCTCGTAGAGTTGGTGTTAAAACTTCGACCCCAGGTGTTCATTCCTGGTGACTACATCTGCAGAAAGGTCCGTACTTCCTCTGAAGATGTTATTTGTTGATCTTGGAAGAATTGCTAATATCTGTTGAACTGTAATGGTTGACAGAATTGCCAAAACACAGTAAAACAGTCCAGTTATTTTACAACATGGGATTCTAATACCACTTCTTTGTATCCTAGCGTTGCTAGCTCCTTCTCGTGAACAACATGTCTGCTACATAAATAACAGAAAAATATTTCTACCGTATTTTCTGGTCAATAAGTCACTCTTTTCTCATAGCATCTTCAAGTTGTCACTTATAGCCTAGAAAATATGGTACATTGTTTTCTAGTGGCGGACATAACACCATACCTATTTACAAAATGCTCCTGTAACATAGACATGGGCAAATATTGGATTTTTACAGTATGATAACACACTTTAATGTTTCAGATAACTATATAAATTTTAATATTATATTATTTCATTTGTTAAGAGAAATAGTTAAGTCAAGTATATTTCTATAACACGTTTCAGCGACAAGGCAGTTGAAAGTGCTTTAAATCATAAAAACATCGTACAGTCATCAATTATGAATTAAGCAAAAAACATTATATTTTGTCAAATGCCGTCATCAAATATGTTGATCAATGTTCCTGTTACTGCTAATCAAAGGCAACTTTAATCAAATAGGCTTTCCAAACCCAACTGGCACGGTTTTTAAGTTTTTTTCTTCATTTATTTTTTTTTAGATAGAAAAATACATTATTTTACAATACATCTTTAAGATGACACATTATTTTAGAGAAATAACACATTATTTTATAGATGTAAACCAACAGCATGGAATTTTTTTTCTCTATTTGGTGCTGGTTGGTTATGATGTGTTGGTGTGAGTCAGATTTCTGCCGCTGAGCGTTTTCACCTTTAAACTCAAAATGAGTTTGAAGATATCAAATCAAATCAAATTTTATTTGTATAGCACATTTCAGCAGCAATGCATTTCAAAGTGCTTTACATAATTAAAATAAAAACAGCATGTGACATTGAATAAACAGTGAGAAAGAGAAATAAAAAGAAATTAAAGTAAAGATAAAGAGATTTAAAAAAAATTAAATAAAATAAAAAATAAAAACATTATCCATATGAGGACTTGCCCTTATGGGGTCTCCTCCAAAATAAGAGGCTCTACAAGCCTTTCCTTCTGTAGGACTTTAGTCAAACCGCCATTTGATATGCATTTCTTCTCATCAGAATTTTTTTGTAGGTTTTAACTTTTATTTGTTCCAACTCAGTTATGTTTGTGTTGTGGATAAAAATTATAGCTGGGAGTAGTTTGTGTCTTAATTATTAGTGATTGTTTTTAAGCATTTCTCCTTTCTTTTGCAACTATAAAATGGCTTACAGAGGAGCCCACGAGAAATTGTCTCTGCTTTTTCCAAGGGCGATGTGGGTAAGGAGATGTACATCATCAAAGAGGGCCACCTGGCGGTGGTGGGGGACGACGGAGTCACCCAGTTCGCTGTGCTGACCGCAGGAAGCTGCTTCGGAGAAATCAGCATCCTGAACATCAGTGGCAGCAAGATGGGGAACAGGCGCACCGCTAACATAAGGAGCCTGGGCTACTCTGATCTGTTCTGCCTCTCCAAACAAGACCTGATGGAGGCCCTGCAGGAGTTCCCCCACGCCAGGGCGCAGCTGGAGCAGCGGGGGCGGGACATCCTGCAGAAGGAGGGGCTTCTGGAGGAAGTAAACGTGTCGGCCGGAGAAGAGCTGGAGGTGAAGATGGAGAGGCTGGAAACCAGTCTGGACCGTCTGCAGGTCAGTGTAGCGGCTTTTTATGAAACTTTATCAGTTTTTTTAATTTTATTGTTTTTCTAATTTCCATGATGTTTTTTTTTTAATTTTTTTTAATTAAAACAAGTCTGATTCCTGAAAGCCTGTCAATAACTGGTGATGAATTATTTTCAGACGTGTTTGGCGCGCCTGCAGAGTGAGTTCAACTCGTCCCAGCTCCGGCTGAAAAAGAGACTCACGGCCCTCGAGCACAACATCACCACGGCAACCACCGGTAGCGGCTTCCTGTCGGACGCCGATGGCAGCGAGAGCGTCTCCGGCTGCGACTTCGTACGAAGCGAAATCAACATCCGGCTCTGAGGACTCACCTCACGCAGCTGTCAGCAAATACTGTTATTTTTTTATTTTATTTTATTTTCTGTAATTCAAGACGTAGACTCAAAATAAAGTAAATCCCAACTCGGAGCACAATTTTCGGATTTTTATTTGCTGAAAACAAACACAAATGCGCCCAGCGTCCTTTCACTTTACGCTTATTTTTTTTCTGTACGACATAAAATACTTTGTGTTTGTAAAGTGGAAGGGTTATTGGGCATAAAAACTTTTTATTCTTTTTTTTTTAACCAAACTTCTACCTTTCCTGATTAGACCATCTTCCAGATAAAAAAAATTATAAATGTAAACTAACATACAGCATAAATAGATCTTTATAAAGTATTGAGTAGAAATAAAATCCCATCATGCTTTGAGTTAGAACTACGAATAAATACTTTAGTTAATAGGAATCTTTCTTTCTTTTTTGTTTTATTTTGTCTTTTGTATTTGTCCTAATTATGACATTATTACCTTAAGAATCTCACATAAACTTTGTATATAATTTAAGATCATAACTTAATCTGTTTCAGATTAAGTAGAAAAGAAGGCTGTGTGAAAGTGTGTGTTAAGGACACTGATACCTGTGTAATGTGGTAACTCTGTAACTGGAGTCAATGTTAGCAAGCAAGTGGCTTCTGATCAAAGTCCAACAGCACAAGTCTGCAAGGTATATGAGGAAGTGACAGAGAACACTCTCCAGGTTGAAAAGGTAAAATAATTCATTTGCTGTTTGTTCTACTCACTTTTTCAACCTGCTTCCAATCCAACATGCTGCTGTTCTATACAGTGAGGTTTGTTTTCTTGTTAGCTGAATCATTCTGCAGAGAAAAGCTTCAGTTTGGATCTCTTAGTTTGGCCTCATGTACACACACATGCAGGCAGATTTTCTCAGTGCTTTGAAATAACTGTTTTCACGCCATTTTTATGTTTTTTTTGTTTGTTTTTTTAGCAATGCAGAGAATAACTCTGGTGCTGGGTATGATGCTGGTGTCTGCAGTGTCTGCTGCAGGGCAGGTAAGAGTTTAGCTTGGTGTGTGCATTCATTTTCTTTTCATTTGCATCAGTAAAATCACCAACTATAAGCAGACACATTCAAACCTGGGCAGAGTAGCCGGAAATTATACTCAAGTCAAAGCAGAGCTAAGGAAGTGGGTATTTGTATGTGGTCATTAGTTAATTTAGTCCCTGTGTTGTCTTGTCAAGTAACGATCTTCAATTTATTCTATTGTAATTCAGTGTGATAGATCAATGCAAAGTCGTGAATAATTGTGAAATCTAATGAAAATGATTCATAGTTTTCAGCTTATTTTGGGCTAAAAGTTAGAGCTTACAGGGGCAGTAGCCCAGGGCACCAATTCTTGTGGGGTGGGCCACAAAATTTATTTATGATTTTTTTTATGGATGCATGTTTTGAAAACACTGTACTTTATGTAATAGTCACAGGTCCACATCAGTTGAGTTGTAATAATATTCTGTGATTTTTAAGACTATAGACAACACTCCAGTAGTTGAAAATTATGAAGGTTTTTTGTTGTTGATTTTTAAGGGACAACATGAAGCTACTGGCCAAGTGACATATTAAACTTACCATAATCAGTTGGTATAATCGGCTCAGACCTGGTTTATTTATAGAACTACCTATTAATCTATTGAAAATTGCATTAGGGAAGTAAAGTTTCTTTAGTGGAAAGGACACCAAGATGCGGTTTCCAGCCCATGGGCCTACATAGTTGTAAATCCGGCCCTGCATATATATGTAATCAACACTGTATTCGTCCATCTATGTTGCAGCCTGGTTTCTTAGAGTCCATCATGCTGTCCATCCAGCAGCGTCCCTGGCTCATGGGTGTCTACGTCTTCGTCGTTGGACTTCCCCTCGTTCTCTTCGTCAGCTTCGTGTGCCCTGACAAGGTACTTTGTGTCCACATTGTTGTATTCTGTGGGTATGTAGGACAGCTGCAAACCTTGGAACTGTGTGTGGTGTTTTAAATGTAGAGGTTCGGCCCACCAGACCAACCGTATTACTACAAGAAAACGGATGATGTCCAACCAGACGACCTTGAGGTCTCCCCACGGAGAAAATCGGCAAAAACCAAAAGTAACAAAGTCTCTCTGTTTTTTTAAATCGCATTTGTCAAAGTTCCCAAGCTGAAACAAGCTGATAATTATTAGCTTTTATTAAGGTGTAGTTATTTATGATTATTTAAGCTGAAAATGCATTCACCACCTGAGAAAACAAACATTTTGTGTGTGTCTGTTTGCGTAGGATCCCAGATCAGTGAACAGAGCTCCGCAGAGGAAACAACATCAACTCACAAGAGATTGCTGAGCAAGCAGTAATACTCTCAGTGTGACTAACCTTACTGTTATTATAAAACTGCTGGAGCGATGCAGTCAGGACTCAGTCATATATATCTGGAACTTCTGACTGTGATGTGGACAAATCAGAAGCAGCTCTGATCCTCTGATACTGATTCCCAAAGGATGTGAATAGATCTGCAACTTACATTTATTTTAGTAATTGATTAAACTGTTGATTGTTCTGATGATTAGCTGGTTATTCTGACGATTAACCGATTAATCGCATAAAAAATTGGCATATTTTGCTGATTTTTCTTTTTTTTTTATTTTACACAATATTAAGAATACATGAAAAATGCAAATAAACAAACAATGCAATTCCTTTTTCTAAATAAGAAAATAAACATTTTATTGCCTACAATGCAACAACTGCATTCTTTTAGAGAACGAATTATAATTTGTAGTTAAAAAAAAACAAACTTCTAAAATCAACATGTGAAAAGCTCAGCCCTTTCTGCTCAACTTAACATCAATGTATTATTAAGCTAATCTGTTGACTATTTTTAGGCTAACAGAGTAGTAACTGAACAGCAATCGGAGCTAACTGTTTATTTGAACAGTTTTGACTCGATTACTGCCCTGAGTGTGTTGTTCTTTCAGGCAATGGCTTTTTATTGAGACCATATTTAGTTAGTGCGTAGTTAGCGATGAATTGATTACTAAACTTGTTGATGATCATTTCAATAATTGATGAATCACAATTAATCCAATTAATTGTTTCAGCACTAGACGTGATGACGATGTATACCATCTGATGGTTAATCTGAATAATATTCAGCATGCTGTTTTTCCTCATTTAAATGTAAATTAAAAACAGATAAATGTGAGTTTTCAAAATTAATTATGCATTTACATATTTTATTTTATCTTTGGCGAGATAAACATCTAATTTTCTGTCAGAAACATATGTGTTGGTTGGGTAAAAATACATTTATACAGTATAATTTGGAGGTTAATAGCAATTTTTCAACGACAAATTTAGATTCTCTGTCTAAATTCACCTTCAGTATTCATTACAGTGTTTCAGTTTATGGTAATATTCTTCATCAATTATAAAAGAAGCCAAGATGCTTTCTGTATCGGATACTAAATTCTATTTTTCTATTGTGTCAAATACTTGTTTCATGCAATAAAATGATAATTATTTTCAAAATCATTCATTGTTTTTTCTGTTTTTTTCATTCTTTACTAATATTCTCTCTTTTTGCCTCACCATTCAGATGCTGCTATAATAATAAAAAAGATTACCTTTTCATTTGATATGATTGGCAGCGTATTAAATGCTTCTTTTCCGCACCGTATTTATAAAACGAGGCTGTCTCACTGCAATCAGTCACAGAACAATTATGCAACCAAATAATGGAGGAAAATTGCCTCCTTCTGTCCTCTATCCTCCTACAAACGCTGACCTTCAGTTGCATTTAGCCACTCCAAACCATTATTTCAAATGGCACAAAGCTGCTAATCAGAAAGACGATGACCACTCAAGTCTCTCAACGACACTCACAGAGGATGGGGTAGATGGGAGCCACGGTGCGTTGGCCAGGAAGAATCAAAGATTCACGGTACGACTGCTACCAAGCAACACTAAGTTTGTTTTTAACAACAAGTTTAATATTAGAAACTTGTTTTTTAACGTGAAGTTGGTCTTGACAGGTTCTGGGCACATCTGTTCTGAGCCGTGCCTGAACATTTGGTGTATTTTATCACCGTGGAAAATCAGGCATTTCTCCAGGTGCTCCTCCTTTGTTTTGACTCAGCTGTAGGAAGATTTTTCCATTCTCCAAGACAAGAATCAAACAGATGAGCCCAAACTGTTTGAAGAATCAGTCTGCTTTACTGACTTCTTTCTTGGTTGTGCTGCAATTTTTCAACAAGAGGAGTAAGAGAGGCCCCACCATGGCCCTGCTAACAGGACTGATGATGCTGGCAGCTTGCACCCCGTTTGTCAAGGTGAATACTTTGAATAATCAGAATGCTGTTCTGGGGTGTTCTGTAACTGTGCTTTTTAAAATCTATGTACCCCTTGAATGTTTCATATTTTGTCACAATGCAGCCAAAAAGGATCTGTTCATCTGTTCTCACTTCACTTACAGCTGAAAGGTATTGTATTTCATGGTGTGTCTACCACAGACATTTTGGCTGCTTATTCAGGCTGTAAAAGATAGCCAGACCTTCAGATAATAACAGGAAGGCTGAACATATTACAGTTTTTCTTTTAGTTTTTAATTTATTCTCTCTATATTAACTCAGAGTTAACATAGAACTTCACATTTTCTAAAATATATATAAAGACGGAGACCCGTTTTGGGTTTGGTGCTTCTAACTGAGGTAATCACTAATAGGTAGCCTAGCTTCTCTATCAACTCAAAAGCATTAACATGTCTACTCTGTCATTATTTTGACTATTGTTGTATGATAGTAATACACTGTTTCACATGAGAGAAACAAATAATAAGAGTGCTATTTTTATGGCTTCATAAATTATTGTTTTCCAAGAAACGGGAGCTAAACTTGGCATCAGTGTGTCAAAGCCTTACAGAAACATGAGATTGAAAATTTGTCCCAAAATTTCCACATTTTCAAAGCTGCATGTATACAACGTTTATGGAAAAAGTATGTTTTTTGCATATTGGTTCAAACTATTACAATGTCGTATAATGATGTGGCAATGTAATATGAAACAGATAATCATCTTCTCCCATGTGCTGCTATTGCCGTCTGGAAAAAAACACCGTCCCGACAGAAACAACCAATCAGAACCAGGAGGTGTGTCTTAATGCTGTCAATCAACCTCATGAATGTGCTCCTAAAAATGCTAATGGAAGAGAAACAAAACTCACTGTTACCCAAAATCCGTTTATCCGCCATTATCAGAGGCCATGCTAGCTAGCCTTAGCATTCACGAGAGGCTCCGCTGATGAAGAGAAGCTGTACTGTATAGCAGACTGCAAGAGGAAGGCATGTGTAGGGGAAGGAAGCACATACATGGGCATGATTGACAGCGCTAAGACCTGCCTCCTGGCTCTGACTGGTTGCTTCTGATAGTACTGGGACAAGGCACAGGATTACCTGCCTCATACTGTACTGTCACGACACAGTGACATTTTTATATATTTCTTACAAAAGCTGACATTTCTGCAGACTTAGTCGTCTATTTTAAAGGCTACATAATTTCAGTGTGTTTTATTTTCTACATATTTTCTACATTTTGCTTTCCAACAGGCATATTTGAAACCAAATGAGATAATGGAAGGGAATAGATGTGAACATCTCAGGGACGACACATATGTGTGTATGTGTCTGTGTAGGCGTCAGACGGCTGCGGCGGGGAGCTGGCTCAGTTGCGGCAGCAGGAGCAGCTTTTGAAGAGACAGCTTCAGAAACAGGAGCTCCTCCTACGCAGCTTACAGCTGATGACCCAACAGGGCAACAGCAATGATGCTGGAGCTGACCAGGTCCAGGACACCCAGCATGCAGGTCAGCGCCCACTGCCTCGCACCCTCAGGAAGCCCTGTGAAAACCATGCTGAAACTGTATTTGATCATGCCGTCTGTTGGATAAACGGACTTGTGTAAATCTGTGTGTCAGACTGCTCCCAGGTCTATAGTTCTGGATTCCAATCCAGCGGTCTGTATCGGATCAGGCCTAGCGGAAGCCCTTCAGCGGTCAAAGTCTACTGTGATATGACTGAAGGAGGAGGATGGACTGTCCTGCAGAGACGGGTCAATGGCACAGAGGCATTTAACAGGTGTGTCTGCAGCATGCTGTATCATAGGCATTGGTACAAACTCAACTATCTGTGTAAAAAAAATAAGAATCTCCTCAACTATCAATCCATCAGGTCATGGATAGAGTATAAAGACGGTTTTGGAGACCTGAATGCAGAATTTTGGCTTGGAAATGACAACATGCATTTTCTCACAACACAAGGTTAGTACTGTTTTGCTTTGTAGACTAAAAACTAACACATGCAAATGCTGTTTTAAGTGTCCACTTTGTGGAAAAAGCCATGTGTAGCCTTTTCTGTAGCCTTTGTTTGTCTGCTGCCATCAAGTGGTCAAAAATAACAACTATTAGTGCTTTGGAGAACACTTGTGTTGTCCAGAAATGTCATCTGCTCAGCCACTTTCTCATCGATGGCCACAAAATTCTCGCAGGGTTGCTGGTGTCTACCTCTGGTGGTCTTGCTGGTATTCCAACACCAGGACATTGATATATCAGCACAACAGCGCTTACATTTCTACAGGTCACATTGTATGCTGCATAAACTTATCCTTTTCCTTGTGGCTCCTTCTTTTGCAGGGAATTATTCAGTGAAGATCAACTTGGAAGACTTTGATGGCCACCAGCGCTATGCTGAGTACAAGAACTTCCAAGTAGCAAATGAAAAGGTCCAAGTCCTAAAAGTTGATGGAATACATTATGTGTAGCACTGTGTAGTTGTTTGAAGATTAAAAGGAAATATGTCTTTAAAGAAAAACATATTAAGTAACATTATATCTTAATTTCAACCCTATCGCAGCAGGAAATCTGTAAAAACAAGTAAAAATATTAGATTAGCTAGTTAGATAGATAGTTTGTTTCTTAATTGGAATTTTAAGATGCTTCTTAAAACTCCAACTTTAAGAAACATCATAGTGGATTTATGCAAAGCTCATTCTATCTAGTCGTAACCATTGTCACAATTGCATTGGAAGGTTATTTACAGAGAATAACCTACCTTTTTTCCCACAAGAAATAAAGGTAGAAGTTGGTGCTCTAACTATGATCTGTCAGTGTGACTGGGAAAGAATACGCAAAAAAATTTAAGGTCAGGTATGCAGTACATTTTACACAGCAGGATCATTATTGGTGCATTGCTTCCTACCTGAGTGTCCTGTTTAAAAGAAACATTGACTTTTGTAGAAATACACACCTACCTCAAATGTGACATCTTAAAGGTTTTCGTTGACAATACAAAGTTTTAAAGACTGGAAGTAAAAGAAATCCATTTCAATCTTGGATCTCTGGATGTTGGCAACTAAATTAGATTTATTCAGTGTGAAAATACTAAGAGTCAAGAGTTATTAACGTTATTCATTTAAAAAACCATCCCGAACTCTGTCTTTAACCTCATGCAAGTCGTTATTTTTTATTTCCGTAAGTAGGAGCACTACCGCCTTTCCTTTGGAGACTATGTTGGTACCGCTGGAGATGCTTTGACTGGAAGCTATCAGGTTCCTGAGGTCAAATGGGCCAGTCACCAGGGCATGAAATTCAGCACCTACGACCAGGACAATGACAACTACAAGGGGAACTGCGCTCAGGAAGACAAAGGGGGCTGGTGGTTCAATAAGTACGAGCCCAAACAAAAATCCACATTTATGTCTTCCAGTGACATTAACAAATACATTCTCTGTTCGACTGGTATTTTCCGTAGATGCCACTCGGCCAATCTCAATGGCGTGTACTATCCCAACGGACACTACAGTGCTTCCACGGATGACGGTGTGGTCTGGTATCCTTGGAGAGGGTGGTGGTACTCGCTGAAGACCAGCATCATGAAGCTGCGACCTGTAGACCACAAAACCCATCTCACTAATGACCAGGTGGCAGTTTCTCTCAAGCCACCTTCCTAGGTTATGCTTGCTTTGACAAATGATGAACAAATGGAACAAAAATACTTTGCAATCACCCATATCTTTGTAGTACTTACAACTGCATTGACCATCTCCTCATAATATATAAGAATCCTGTTTTGTGTCGGGGCAAAGCTGAGTTGCATACACAATACGGAGCAAACAAAGGAACAAAATTGAGAACGTGTGAAAGTTTTAGTCAGTTCTACAGACTTGAATGTTGTAAGAGGAAGTTGCATCCAGCTGTCTGGTTTGAAGGCATAAGAGGAAGTCTGATGTCAGCGTTATTGAGAAGTCATGAAACATTGGATTGACATGTTATTGACATATTATCACACAGCTGCAACTGACTGAACACGTGTATTTTATCTGAACAATGGAGTGACATGACCTTTCAAAACTACCCTGTCAAGCATTGTGCTGATTCAAAATTAATCATCAAATGTGCTTGCAAATAAATCCATTGCTTTTATTGAAGTACAGGGTGGTACGTTGTCTTACTTTTGATTCGTTTCACAACTTGAAACAACGCATTGCTAGGCTATGGAGAATTTAATGTGGTCCATGTTCCAGTAGTGTAACATGTGACTTTGTGATCACATTAGCAGGGGACAGATTCCAAAGTGAAACATAAGCATAAGTCCATCTGATTTCCAGTTATTTTCAACTTATTTCTAAATCCATCTTGTAGTTTGTTGTTGCTTCTAGGAAGCAAATCTTATCTTGGGTTGGTCTATAGACGTGGATGTTTGTAATTACTCCTAGGGTATAAATAACTAGAATAGAATATGCAAAATACAATAAAACAACTTTTACTCATGTCCGATTATGCTGTGTAACATAATAAAACTCACCTCCTATCTCTAATTACCATACTAATATAGCACTTTTGTAGTCTAAATTACTACATAGTCTAGATTTAAAGTAAAAGTTTTTCATTTTAAACGTCTAAAATCAAACATAATGTCATGCACAAAAGGACTGTGTGTATGTCCATGCCCAATATGGCAGATTATTCTGCACAGATAGATTTAATAGGATATTCAGAATGTTTATTCCAGAAAGGAAGAATGTACTTGTGAATATCTGGAAATGCAGACCTAATACTCCTAAATCAGTGACCTTTATTTATTTATTTTTTTACACATGCATGTCTTCCAGCCTGTTCATAAAAAGGAAGTGCAGTTCTTTTTGCTCAATAAAACACTTTAAATATTCTAAGAAAGTAATATCCATGTTAAGATCTAATCTAGATATAGCTGAAATATGATGTACCATCGCTCAGTGTGAAAATATTAACTGCTGTTGACGCTGAATGGCGCCTTTGTTGTGAACGGCTGTCTGAGACAAGAATCTGTCGTCACACAAGCAAGCCACGAGCCTTTATCTTTTGGTACGCTTGATTAAATGATACGGGAAGCCGTTTTACTGGGCCGCGCTTCTGCCAGTGAATAGGTTGCTGTGTTCAGGCTTGAACTCCCCGCCCTTTCAAACCGTACGGAGGTTAAAAACGGGCGAGACGTCAGCGTTTAACGCCAACGCTCATTGGCTGACACCGCTTCACGTTGAGAGAGATTGTCAGTCAGCTGGAGGTTTAAGGAGAATAACAGTTACTTGTTTTTGTCTGGCGGCCCTTGACGAAATAGTGGTAATGCTTATAAGCTTGCTCAGCCCGTTGAAACGACTTGGTATAGCTGTTCGGAAAACAGGATTGTAAGGTTCTTGTCGGAAACTCTTCAGCGCGAGGTGAGTAAGCTAACCTTAGCTGATGTTGAACTGATTACTAAGCGAGCAAGCTAGTAGGCTATCTTCCGTCATTGTGTTTGCTAGTCAATTGCACACCTTTTTTTTTGTATATGTAAGAGCAACAATATTGCCCTCCATTGTTATTTTTCAGGTAAATTTCTTTCTAGTTCAGTTTAGTTAGCAGTCGCTCAGCTTCCCTTCCGCCTCTTTGTCTCCAAGGTGACGGCTTTTATCACTCCATCCATCATCTCATCACCCTGGGTCTTTCTGTCTGTTCTCCGGGAGACTGCTACCAAAACCTTAGACAAGCGCGGTGCGTTTCCTGTCTGGAGTGTTGTCGCAGGCGGAGCTCAGTGCCTGTTGCCACCGGGTGGCCCGATGCTAGCAGCGGGGAAGACATAGCGGCGCGGCTCGAGGAGGAGATGTCAGAGCGGGGATGCCTCTTCTTGGAGACAGTGCTGTAGTCGATGGAATACCGGAGTGCACACCCTACACCTGCCGCTGGCACTTGCGGAGTTGCAGCCTAACAAGCAGTGACAGATATATGGATGGTGAGGTCGCAGCATGCCCACCCCCTCAACTACCACTACGCCGCTGGCTGGAGGGAGCAGCAGCCGCCGCAGTAGCAGCAGCTCTGGAGGAGAAGAGGAGCCCATGTCTGCCAGTCCCGACTCCACCGGCGGCTCCTCTTTCCGGGTCGTCCCGGCTTTCTGCCTGGGCGTGGTGGCGGCTGTTGCGTTTCAGCTGGCCTGGGGAGGCCTGACTCTCACCTCTGTCCTGCTGAAGCTCTTCATCTACGTCTCATTCGCCTTACTGTGCTTCCTGGCCGGGAGCTTCGTGCTGCTGGTCAGGAAGAGCCCTCTGAAAGTCAGCTGCTTTGACCGAAACAGGAGGCAGTCAGCTGCTCGTCTGGAGTTCTTCAACAGGCTGATGGTAGGAAGATTACTCTTTCGAATAACATGTATGTATATAAATATGTTCATAGAGAACACATTTTAGTACATCTAAGAATGGAGAAAAAAATAAAACACTTAGCCAGTAGCGGTGCTTACATGACTGGTTCCCTCCTACCCAGATAAGAAACAAACAAAATAAACATGTTTAGTTTGTAGCTTAAGAATTAAACATATATCGATCATTTTTACCAATGACATGGGTCAAAATTGTAAAGACTAAAACATTTTCTTCTGCAAATGCTAAAATTTAAAACTATATATTGATCTATCTGTCTATCTGTGTGTATGTAGTTCAACAATAAACTAAACGTACAGTCATTTAAATTAAACAAGTGAATAATAAAAAAAAATTGTGGCAAAGAGATTTTTGCACAACTTTAAAAGAAAGGCATACATTATTCAAACTATTTCGAGCTCAACAACAATTTTCAGACAATATATTAGATTCAGTCCATCTTCAGCAATAAGAACAGGGTTAAGTTTCTGTCTCTTTGAAACACCTGCTGCACATTTTCAAAAGTTGAATAAATGAATTAAAATCAGATTTGGTCTGTTTCAGAGCAAAATATCAGTGGATAGATGTTGACTTGTTTACTACAAAATTAAAGACAAAGTAACCCTGTTACTAAACGATGACTACATTTTGTTGTTCCTAAATTTTTTCCATTCTAATTTGTAATAATTTAAATCTGATAATCTCCATCTACACCAACCCCCTTTATTATGTTATTTGCATGCTCTTAGTTTTATTCTAATCTCACTCTGTATTTCTATCTTCTCATGTTTTCTCTTTGTTCTTGCATTAAAAAAAATCTTGATCTATAATTAATGCATTCATGCCATCTTGCTTAATTTCCACTGTGCACAAAGTAAATGACTGCCCATCCCTTCAGAAAAACAATGCTGCGTTTGCAGCTGGCTGCTGGCCTGTCTTTCAGCCGTGTTATTTTCTGCTGTGTGCCGATGACTTATTGACGATGGAGGGAGATTGGCGCAGACATCTGTCTTGTTGACATGTTGCGTCAGCTCTGACAGATTGCTTATCAGGGATACAGTTCTCTTTTAGTTGTATTAAAATGCTAACTGCTAATCACTCCTGCTTTCCCGAATGCGAGGTTGAAAATGAAGTGACCTGGTGCTCTGGTTGTCCCTCAGGGTCGGTTTTCGGTGCCTGCTCAGGAGTCCGTCCTGAGCAGAAGAGTGGTGGTGTCACACAACGTGGACAAAGCCCTGAAAGAAGGTAATTCATCAGAGATGCTTTGACGTATAAAAAACGTGAGCGAGCCGTACAAGTTTTACTGTTTTTTGGGTGAAAACGTCCTGCCTGGGGTTGAGCAGTGATTTTTCCAGTTTTTGTGAAGCTTTGCTTTGTCAATACTGAATTCAGATGTTTCGGATTTCTCTTTACGCGCTGTAAATGTAGAATATCAAACTGTGTATTTTTAATAATCCAGGCACAATGTGTCCACACATCCTTAACAAATCTTAAATTCATGTATATATGGGTTGGTTTCTAATGTAAAGGCCTTAAAATGTCTTAAATCCATTAAAAAAGTAAATATGCTTTTCCCAAGTCTTACATTTTGTCTTTATTAATATTTTATTTTATTTTTGTCCCCTCCTGGGGACTTTTCTGTCAGGCAAAAAAAAGGACATCTTCGTTGCGCTTTGTGACACGAGACCACTGATGCTACCGCTAACTAGTGCTAATATACCTTTGCTAGCTAGCAGGGGAAGTTGCAAAGAACTACCCATGATTGTTCTTTGTGACTGTCATGAGTAAGTGCAAATTTTTTGCCGGTTGTCTTGACAAAGTTTGTTCATTTCTGTTATGACACAAGTCTTAAATTTCATTCATAGTGGTCTTAAAAAGTCTTAAATATGAGGTTTTGAAACCCTATGTCAGGATACACCTATAATTATTGAAATTAAGAACATCAATAACATTTTACCACTATTTTCAGATCTATTATGAGTCTTCACAGAGGATTTACGCTCAAATATATATTTTTTTGTACTCTATTCAGCCTTCTTATCTCTTCAAAGTACAATTCTTGCTCGCTGTTGGCAGCCTGATTGAACCACAAACATGTCTCTAGAAAATGCAGCTTGCCTTTCAGTAAATTCTTAAATGTCTCAGATTCCTCTGAGTGAAATCTGAAACATCTTACTAATCCTGAAATTTAGTAACTGAGGTTTATTATGTTTCCAATCAGCGAGTGAAAAGCCATCACCAGTCGAGCTTAAAAATGTCTGAATCTGGTTACCAGCTCATTTCCCGACACATTTCTCTGAGAGAGACTTGATACAGAGATTAGAATCTTTTTGTGCCACGTAGAGCAAATTAGGAGGAAATGCAAAAGGATTAGCTGGTCAGAGATTTAAAACATTTCAATTTGCTCTTTAGACCACAGTGGAGCAAATGCTTTTCTAATGTGTTAATTAAAGTTTCCTGCATAGATTTTTATTTCTGGGGAACTTTCTTTATTTTGTACAGTCAAAGACTCGGTCCATTACTCGTTTGTTTCTTTGCTCTAGAGAATTGTGAGTTTATGGAACTTCAGGGTGAAAATGTACTGATTGTAAGAAGGCTGTGTCATTTCCATGGAGGCTTGTGTGTCGTTTCCAGCATCTTTCATCACAAAAACATTCTGTTAGTAAAAATTTTTATTTATTTATTTTTTTTAAACCCAATAAGAAAGCTTAGTGATGGTGCTGTGCTGCTACCACTCATCACTGCTCCTCAGTGACCCACTGTTGCACCAGTAAAAGGCCTGGTGAAGGAGACGCACAAGCATTTGCACAACCACACATCTACACAATGAGAGGAGCTGTGTGTGTGTGTGTGTGTGTGTGTGTGTGCGCCTGCCAAGCAGCAGATGGCTCCAGGATTTGTACTGAGTTAACAAACGCCTACACAGTAGAAGAAGGGGATTTGTACATGCTCCACTGTGACTGGCAGGTGGAGTAGGTTGATGACTTTGGATTCAGTCGACTTCTGCTCTCAGTGATCTGATGACTCGGTCTGAGTTTCTGTCCAGTCCAAGGGTACAACATGCCTTCTGGTTGAATCAGGAAATCGTGGACACAAATAATGTTCAAAGTAGTAAAAATGATTTTGGAACCACCGTACGATGAAGTGTGTTCAGAAGTGTATGTTGAAATTCAATTTATAGCACTGATTTTATGCATCAACAAACTGGCTAGGATTGCACCAATGTAATCTTGCAATAATTGATTTTTTAAATCAATTAATTCAATATTCTGTTTTGAAAATGGAACTTTTGGAAAATTTGGATAATTTTCTTTCTCACCTATTCACTTCTTGGGTTTCCAGAGTGATGCTAATTCACCCAAGAACTACAATATGATACGATCAGTGCATTTTACAGCTTCTATTTATGTCAACTTTGAATTCAGGTTAACTCACAGAAAAAAATTAACAAAACCCTTTTTTAAAAAAATATATATTTTCTGTCATTTGTAAGGCTAAAAAAACAACTAAGATTGGAAATTGAATTTAGTATGGGGGGGGGAGAAACACATATTTTATTTTTAAGCCAAATTGCCCAGCTGTAATTGAGCTGGGCAATTACAGTATTCAATTGTATTCTTACAATTGAAAGAATTGTAGGAACAATGTTGAAATTTATCATCTCTAAGTTATTTAAAAGATAATTGACAACAAAAACACAAGTAACCATTTTTTTGTACAATTGGATATCCATCCAGGCTTTCAGGGGTTAAAGATATTATTAGTATTATTATGTTTTAATCTAATTATAATATTTACACTAGAAGCAGAGGTGACATCACACTGTCGACAGCACAACCCCGAACTTCCTCTAAACTGTGAAGAAAGCCTTGTCACGAATGTGTTTTTTTTTCCTTTTCATTATTTCTCCTCTACATTCGTCCTGTCCTGGGACTCGATCTTTGTATTTGTTTTCTCTGCATATCTTGGGTGCTCAGATAACAAAGTCCACTTTGGCTATATTGATCAGACCAGTGACTCTCTCCATGTTTTCCAAAACGACTTCACCATTAGCTAAGACTGAAAAAGAGCAAGGTGGTGAAATGGGAACATAAGAGCCCTCAGAATCACCAAAGTCTGCTTTTGATATTCCTCATTAATTCTAATTGGCGCTTATAATAGATTGCGATAATGAGACATCCTGTGTATTTTCAGATTGGCATCACGTGAGCGTATGTTCCAAATGAGCCGAACACGGTTGTGTCCTGCTCATCTGGTTTCCTCCTGCAGTTAGTCACATCAGTCTCTGCTTCTATGAGTCATCGCTGTGATAAAATAACCTGTCCCTTTTTTTTTTTTTTTTTTACACCTCGCTGCCTCTGATGCACCTGGCCTTTGAGGAAATGAAACCTGTTGGACTAACTCTGCAGCTGTCTAATTCGTGGTTTAGTTACCAAAAAAAAAAGAAATCAGGCACCAGGGCTGGCAAATTAAACTCCATTTAACTGAACCGTTCGTCTTCTTATCTCTCCTAAACAAAGCCAACCTGCATCGGAATCCTCTTTCTATCTCCGTCTCCTCTCCAGTGTTCGACTTGGCCTACAGAGACTACATCCTGTCCTGGTACGTCTCCCTGAGTCACGATGAGGGCCAGCTGTACTCCATGCTGCTGGAGGACTGGTGGCAGATGATTGGCCAGTTGCGATCCAGACTCGCAGACATAGACGTCGTCAACGTGGTGTGCTACGACAGCGTCCGCATCCTTCACTCCCACTTCACCGACCTCAGGGCCGCGTCTGGAAGGTACGCACTCGGCCACGTTTCTGTCCAGTCGTTGGACAAGTTTCGAGCGAGCTTTGAAAATGTCGCAAAAATGAGAATGCAAGTTACGCGTGCGTCTGGAGCGAATTGACCATGCTAAGCACTCCACATGGCTGTAAACAAAAAACAAAAAGAACAACAAGATGTAGAATTTTTAAATTTTATTCTTTTCAAAAGTTTTGTTGACAGACCCACCAGTGAATGTGGACAGTTGGTTACGTCAGAATTTATTTGGTATTTACGGTATTTACGGTATTCGTATTTTTATTTTTTCAGAATGTTGGTATTTCACATGCAATATTTCAAAACGTGCATAAAAACAAACCTTGACGGAAACGCGTCTGGTTTGTTATTTGCATGTAGTTGTAGTGGATAACTACATGTAGTGAACTTAAAATTTTATCACGATATTTTGCGGTATCATTGCGATAACAATAAAAGTTCCAATAAGAACCGTTTATTACTACTTTATTAGGAAACTATCTGGCTGTGACTGCCACTAAACTGCACACACATTATAAATAGTATTGATATTTATTGATACTTTAATTGAAAAAACAGTCAAGAAATTAGTAAAACAGACTATTTTATCAGGTTTTAATCTTGAATTGGAATTTATTGTGACAAAGATAAATCAAAATTCTTATAAGACATTTATCAGAAATTGTACGATAAGTAAATCGCCCCAGATTTTCTTAATTTTAGGGAGTTACTTATATGTAAAAGCAATTTTTTGTACCTTCGCAAAGGTTGCTGTATTTCGCAACTTTTCAGATGGTGGTGGGGGTGGGGGGGTGGAAATCAGCATCCTTTGAAATCGGTGTCAGTGATTGGCCAGAAAACTGTAATTGGTTCACCCCTACAAATTGAAACGGCAAGAACACTAATTAATTTTAGTGCTGGCTATCGGCCTTTTTCATTCTGACGTTATGACTCCTTGTTGGTGTCATACCATCAGTTGCTTTGTCAAAGACAGCAACTCAAAAGTGCTGTCTTTTGAGTTGCTGTCCCCACCTTCCCCCTGTAATTTCACGCATCCTGACGGAGTGAAATCCCATCAATCTGATGCAGCGTAAATGACATTAAAAACTCACATCCCCCCCAGCGATATGCACAAAAGACGACCGAGGGGACAGACGGAGCGGTGCTTCACGCTTTATCTGCTTTTATTATCCTGGCACGTCTGGCGAAGCTCATGATTCCACCTCGCAACAGTGACGTCGGTCGTTGATGGGTTGGCGAATACGAGAGCAGTGGCGGCGGCGTGTCTTGATATGTCAAGTTTAGGAAAAATGTAATAAGAACAGCTCTGCGTTGGATGCGTCATAGCAACCTCACCCTGTTTGAGCAGGTCTGACATGAAGCTCGGACTGAAAAATGCGTCTGTGTTTCAGAAGTAAACATGCACTCACCACGAGCGTCAAACCTCAACAGATGATGGAGCTCAAACTGCTAAATTTAGCTTTAGAAACCATTAAAGTTTATATGATAAAGTTTATGCCGTCGTATCCAAATGAATACGACGGTGCATGTAACACTATCCCTCACCCTAATCTGTTTTCTATATTTACTTTGTGTGTGTGTGTGTGTACAAAGATCAGAGGAAGCTGCTCGTCCATTTCCTCTCCATCCCTGCCTGGTCTGTCCCGACTCGGAGATGGCCTTCCTGCGTTGCGTTGCGAGAATCCTGCTGCTGTGTCTGCTGCCTCAGAAGGACGCCAAGTCTCACACGCTCCGCTGCTGCCTCACAGAAGTTATAACGACCAAAGGTGCTGACGTCTTTCTACGTCTCTACAAGCTTTGTTTTATTTTTTTGAATCTGATCTTTTTATCTGAATCAGAAAAACGAGGAAATGAAACCGACTCACTTTCCATAAGAGCTGGGCAATGTGGCTTAAAAATAAAATCTTTTTTTTTTTTTTTTTTTTTTACTACCAAATCCAATTTTCGGTTTAAAAAATATTTAAAAAAAATCCCTTTGCTTTGTTTTCTGAGAAAAAAGAAATTTACAAATGACAGAAAATATTTTCAAAAAGTGGCTTTTACTTCAATCTTTGCTTCTGGTGGTTGATCGACAGAGTTTTGGGCCCAAGCTACGAGAATTTTTGACTAACTATGAGAATACAGTCCAATTTTACCAGGAGAATATTTTAAAATTATGAGAGAAAAAAAATTTGTTTTAATTAGGGAAAAAAGCTTGGATAATTTTTAATTTGGCATGTTGGAGTTTGGATAAAATGACTATTCTGCTAACTTTATTCTGGTATTATTTCAACTCTGCCATGTGATTTTTATTATCTTATTACTATTATTGTAGCATCGTAACTTCATAATTTTATACTCATTAAAAACAAACAAAAACAAAGAAAACTTAGCCTGGCCTTTACATTTTGTTGACCTTGATTCCAAGTCCAACTAAACAAAAGAAGAAAAGCTTTTCTAACGGGATGTCCACCCTGGAGGTACTGTTGTTGAATGTGTGATGTAGAAATGAGAGAAAATGACCCATAAAACTCTGCTGTTTTAGCCAGCAGCAGCTAAAAAGAAAAAAATCCTACAGCACCCGATCTGCTTTTAGAACTAATATAGTCACATATCACCACGTCTTTCCCCTCTTTTACAACCTGTGATTAACCCCAGCAGACGGGTTTTGTTCTTTTTCTTTTTCCTTCTCTTCCCGGCGCTGAATTGTGATTGTGTGTTGTGTTGCTTGCTGCTGCAGTGTTAAAGCCTCTGGTGGAGGTGCTGAGCGACCCGGACTCCATCAACAGGATGCTGCTGTCTCAGCTGGAGCAGAGGGAGCAGCAGGCCGAGCAGCAGAAGAAGGCCTACACCTACGCTGCCTCTTACGAAGACTTCATCAAGCTGATATCAACTTCCACTGATGTCAATTTCCTCAAACAACTCAGGCACGCCAGCAGCTGCTCACACACACACACACACACACACACACACACACACACACACACACACACACACACACACACACACGGCCTCATTAAACGCAGAATGTTCTGTACCTGCACCAACGCTCTTTGAATGCACCACTCTGTCTGTATAAACTCAATAACAGACGGCTTAATCACTAATATTTTTTGTGCTCCTGCTGCTGCTGTGGGGGTTTCCATGGGAACAGAGCTCGTCTCTAAAGCAGTGTGGCAGATTTACAAAGGGGGGTTAGACATGATATTGTTACATGTGGGTCATTAGTGGAGGAAATAATGGTGACACACTGACTCATGGCGTTTTGTCAGGTAAAGAATCCTCGTAATGATGTTTTATTTTGTCTTTTCCCGTTTTCTGATCTCTCCATCTCCATCCCAGGTATCAGATAGTGGTAGAAATTATCCACGCCACCACCATCAGCAGCTTGCCTCAGCTCAAGAAGCAAAAAGGTAAAAGGGAATCGACAGAATGTGACGGCAGTAATTGGTTTGCCTCTGCACAGTCTGCTGCTTCGCCTCTGTTCTTTGAAGCCGAGGGAACAGTGTGTAGAACGGGGCGTATTCATCATGTTCCCAAAATTTACCAAGCAGTTTGGCTTGTTAGACCGATGCATCATTGTTCCTACTAAACTGAGCTAGCTTGATTTCTTTTAGGGGACTTTACAGTTTAGTTTTCTCTTAGTAGATGCTGCACATGAGGGTTTTGTTATTTTCCAGTTTTCCTTAGACGCCCCAATTCCAGACAAACAATCTAATAGTTTCTGCTTATTCAGGGATGTTTGGGAGTCCCAATCCCTGCAGATAATACAAATAAATATAAATACATGTATGTTCACTGTTGTTAGGGAAAACCACGACTACAGGACAGTATGTAACAGTGTTTTCCTACTTGTTTTATGTTACTGAAGTCATTTTTAATCTTTTAGTTTACGCATATTCAATGACATAACATGTCAATAAACATTGATATGTTGTTCTGAGTCAGTTTGTTTAAGATTCTTTTTGCTTTCTGTTTGTATGGCAGATATTGGTCATATACAGGCCTGTGGTGAAACAAATTTTGCTGGACGATAAATTGTCCCAGAAGTTATTGCGATAAACCATAATGTTGTTTTGAGACCATTTTCAAGCAATATAATATGGCAAGAGCACATTCTGAAAGATCAATAAAGATTACATTTTAATGTTAAAGTGGAACTGGAAGACATTTTAAATATTCAAAATAAATCAGCAAAACAACAAAAACCTTAAAGTAAAATGAATTATGAAATCTCTGTAATAAAATTGACGTTCAAAGAAAGGGGCTGGTTGATACCGATGCACCAGTCTGATTACTTTTGTCAATAAATTATACAAATGGATGGAAATTATTGTTGCTTATTGCGACTGAACTAGTCACACATGATAGAAAATGGTAAAAAAATATGATATCCTGTTGTTTCTTAAAGACTCTGTGTTATTTAATATTGCAGTACTTTTGCATATTTTTCCTCTTTATTAATTCATTATGAAGTTTCCAATGAGGAATAGAGAATCCGTCTTAAAACTTTCATTTGCCTTTCTAACTGTATCTATGAAACAGTTTTTATTCATATTATAGATGATGCCGTTTATAATAATTATAAAGCCAAGACAGAAGTTTGTCAACTGGAAATAAATAATAATAAAAAAAGTTTATATATTTAAGAATATATAGAGATATATTGGGACCAAACACACAACCTGGTGGGATCCCACATTCGTTCTTTTGAAACTCTGATGCCTCAGTAATAAACCAGTTGTTCACACTATTTTCTGCTAGTCAGCAGAACTACTCTGCTTAGTTTCAAATACCTTTTTAATCAAATATAATGTAAAGATATGGACAATAAATAATATCATCTTCATGCTGACTAAATAAATATATATATATATATATTTTTTTTTTACAGTCCCAGCTTTTCCATGCATTGGGATTATTTTAGTTCTGTGGTTTAATCTTATCACCGCTCTCAGTAACTTCCTGACCTTCCTCTTCGTCTCCCTCATTCAGAGCGCAAAGGCAAAGAGTCGGCAGCCATGAAGGCGGACCTGCTGAGGGCCAGGGACATGAAGCGCTACATCAACCAGCTGACCGTCGCCAAGAAACAGTGCGAGAAACGCATCCGCATGTTCGGTGGACCCAACTACGAGAACAGCGAGGAAGGAGGAGCCGATGACGGCGATGAACCGCAGAGCCAGAAGGTCAGAGGCATGGGAACGCCGGAGGGAGCGTTTTAGTTCTGAAAACCGAAGCCGTTCTGTTCAAGTCGTTGGACGTTAAAGTGCTTTTGGTCTCATTGTGTGCTGTCCCTCCTTTCAGATCCTCCACTTTGATGATATTTTGTGTTACCCGGGCTACAGAGAACACTTTCGAGCGTACATGGAGAGGATTGATAAGAGAACTCTGATAAGCTTCTGGGAACTGGTGGAAATGCTGAAAACTGCCAATAAGGTATTCAGGACACTCATTCATCAGAGTTCAACCCAGCTGCTCCAAACTAAAAGTAAAAAAAGAGTGCAGGGAAATTTACACCTAATGAAATAACTTCCATCTTAGCTAAGGTTGAGAAATATGATTCTGTAAAGAAATCCAGATAGATTTTGTACAGTTAAATAAGCTAAAGATTTTATAGTTGGCAGATAAAAAACATGACTGAACTAATACCAGGTGCTTCTTCTGTTAACATTTATGTAAATATTTGCTTTTAGGAGAATCTCTGAATTTTCTGTTTACATGAAAATCCAGAGATGTTGATGTGCAACGTGTGAAGGCGACGCCAAGCCTTTGTGAACTGGTTTCTGTTTGTTTTGGCAGAGTGAAGTGCCCCAAATCGTGGGAGAAATCTACCAGAAGTTCTTTGTGGAGAGCAAAGAGATTCAAGTGGAGAAATTTCTCCTGAAGGAGATCCAGCAGAGTCTGGTGGGGAACAGAGGGACCGAGGTGTTCGTCAGACTGCAGGAGCAGGTACGATGGGATTTAAGACGTAGACGATTAATCATGAAGAATCGATTATTGAAATAACCGTCAACTAATTTTGTAAGAGATCAATCACCAGGTTGAGAATAAAGACTCAAAAGAGGCCATTTGCTGAGTAAATGATACACTCACAGATGTAACTGAGCCAAAACTGTACAAAAGATTTTTTACATTTAAGATGAAAAAAAAGTGAAAAATGTTTGACCCAGAACTTCTCAAGTGACTCAGTTTTAGCTTCACCTGGTTCAAAAAAAGCAATTTTTTCTGTTCCATTATTAATTGACTAATTGGAAAAATAATCAACCATATCAGGTTTACTTATTGATGTTGGTCTGAGCCAACTTATTGATGAGCCAACATCAATAAGTAGCTGTTGAAATACTGTTGAAGCTGTAGCTGTTTGAAGTATTTTGTGTTTTTTTTTTTGTTTGTTTTTTTGCTATAAATGATGAGGTGTACGCTAAATGGACGCTACATTAGCGCATTTTAGTTTAGCTTAATAATCCTTCGGTCTGGTGTGGGGTAGAAGAACTTCTTTAGCTTTTTTTTTTTTTTTTTTCCCAAAATGTCTGCTCCGGTTGGAGCTTTATGAGCAGTTCTTGCAGCAAGAATAAAACATATTGAAATGTTCTCCAGGTGGCCGAGACCATGAGGGAGCGCTACTACCCGTCCTTTCTGGTGTCTGACCTCTACGAGCGGCTGATCAGACGAGACGAGTCCAACAGCCAATCACAGTGCAGCCCAGAGGAGAAAGGCAACGGGGTCAGATACACTCACGCACACACACAGAAACAAAGATGCGTCTGCATCACATGGATTTTACTGTACGAGATTGGCTTCTTTGTGTGTGTGAGCTGTCCTCATGTTGTTTCCGTGTCCCTCTGTGTGCAGTGCCAGGGTCTGGATGCAGGGGAGGAAGTATGCGACGAGGGAACTAAAGGAATCAATGAGCAAGCTAGCTACGCTGCTACTAAACTACGGCAGCTGTATGACAAACTGGAGTACAAGCGGCAGGCGCTGGGCTCAATCCAGAACGCCCCGAAACCAGACAAGAAGGTAGCAGATGAGAAGCAAACTGTCTTAGCTCTTCAGGTTTCCATCTACCTGCAGCTGGACGATTAATAGAGTTGACCCATGAGTCAAATCTTTGGTTTTTGAAGAATTAATTTTTTGAAAATCTGGATTTTTCTTTTTCTTTTTTCTACCCATACTCTTCTTGTGTTTCCATAATTTAGAGTGATGTCAGCACGCTTAAGGCTGCCATCTTGTTTTAAAGCATCTCTTTATTTGGAGTTTGAATTCAGATCAAATCTACGGCAAAATATAAGTTTTTTTTTTTTCCTTTTCCATTTTTAATTATGAGAATAAGATCAAGTGACAGAGTCAAAATTATATGATAATAAAGTTGTAATATATATATTTTTTGTCGTTAAAATGACTTTTCCTCTTTAAAAGGTGTTCTTCTGGTATAATTGTTTTTTTTTTCTCTGCTAATATTAGAACTATATTCTCCAAATTAAACAGAAGTTCTTTTGCCTGGCCCTCGTCGCTGCCATCGTACAGCTCACAGAAGGGATGACGGAAATAAAAGCCACTTTTAGAAAATACTTTCTGTCATTTGCAATTTCTCTTTTTAAAAAAGAGCGAGAAAAAGAATTCGATTAAAACCGGATCAGAAGTGGAAAAAAAAATCTGAGATTTTAATTTCAATCAAGTATTCTGACAACAGATATTTACTTTTATTTTTTCCCTACTCTTGAAGGTTGTCTCTGTGTGTTTCTGCACTGCAGATCGTGAGCAAACTAAAAGAAGAGATCGGCACCATGGAGAAGGAGCACAGTGAGCTGCAGCAGCACATCACCAGGACCGACTGGTGGTGTGAGAACCTGGGCCACTGGAGGGCCAGCATCACCACTGCCGAGGTAACCGCGCCCACTTTCCTCACCACTCAAACAGAACGCGGCCAACATGTCATGGAGTCCCTCTGAACCACGACTTTTTTTTTTTTTTTACGGTTCCAGGCGGCAGAAGAAGGCGGCGAGACCGTAGCTTGCTACACCGTGTGTGTTAGCCTGACGGAAGGAGAGGAGACGGCCAACAGCTGCTGGAGCGTCCAGAGGAAACTCACTGAGTTCCAGATGTTGCACCGCAAACTCACCGAGGTGCAGCTGCTACACTTCTTCTTTTTCTTTTTTCTCCAATAATTTCCGTTGCACTGTAATTGATTTGGAAATCAGTACTGTTTTGTGAAAACCAGATAAATATCAGGCTCATATTCTTTCACTACCACATTATTTTGCGTTGCATTTGTGATGAGGTCTTGTCTGACTCTCACTGAGGAGTTCTGTTAAAACAAATTTGTTATGAGAAGTTATGCAGACATGAAAATGCATTAAGCCATTATCAATATTCTTAATAGTCTATACTAATTACAGTCATATTTTAAAGGCTCATATTATCCGGTTGTTATAAACACAATAATCATTTTTCATTTCGCCTCCTCAGTGTTTTCCATGTCTGAAGAAACTCCAGTTGCCGTCGCTCAGTAAACTTCCCTTCAAATCCATCGACCAGAAGTTCCTGGAGAAGAGTAAGACTCAGCTCAATGCCTTCCTCCAGGTAAAGCTGTGTGTGTGTGTGTGTGTGTGTGTGTGTGTGTGTGTGTGTGTGTGTTTAAAGTGGGCATCAACATTAGGACAGTTCCTAACGGTTATGTTAATAAGCGATTCATCTGACGACTAATCTGATGGGTTTTTTTTTTTATTATTATTTCTAATCTGATGATTAATTGGATGAAAACAAGTGTGCCATTCTGCTTTTTCCATTTAACCACTGAAATGCATTAAAAATTAAAATCATTTAATTTTCAAATAATTTCCTTTTTTAAATAATAAAACAAACATTTTTTTTTGTCAAAAATGCATCAGCAGCATTCCTTTAGTAAGCACTTGATTATTTGTAGCAAAGGATTCATCTGTGACTAAAATAATATTTCCAACACCACCATGTGAAAAGCTGATCAGCCAGGCAGTGTACTTCTGATCCATCTGTTTTTATTGATTAACTGATTAATAACTGGATGGCAAAATATGCTTAATGGGTGATTTTCTTTCTTACAGAATTTGAACAATGTGAAGCTAAATTTGCATCTATGTTGTTCTTTCAGTAAATTGAGTCTATGTACTCCAGTTAACGATTTCTTGTTTATTGAATTTGTTAATTATTATTTCAATAATCAGTTTGTCATGATTAATCCGATTAATCCAATGTGTTAGCCTTATTTGCACATAAATAACAGAAAATTTATAACATGATCTCGTTTCCTTAATTCTAAGTAGAACATCATCGGTAGTTCTTAGTGTTGAAAAATATTTTAACATTAATATAATAATATGAAATCAATTGTTTTGTTGTTTCTTGTTTCAATTCGCTAAAACTAAAAGAATTCTTAAACACCATTTAGTGATAGTTTTCAGGTCACAACAAACAATAAAACAATTAATCGCGTGATAACAATCATCAAAGTGATGCTCCCCTTTAGTATCGCTGAAAAGCCGCCATTTTGATAAGTCCAGCAACCATTTGACACCCAGTAAGCTGTTGTTTGCACCTTTTCTTTTCTTTTTATTTTAGTTTTTACAAAAGTTGGACTGCCCCTTTTACCCGTCTTCCCTGTCTTTAGATGAACTATAAATATTCTGAAATGCAGGTTTGGTTACAGAGAATTCATAATCCATTTGAATTTTTGCTGTTTTGTTTATTTGTTTTGGATATTTAAAATGTTAAATGATGTTAGAAATTAAAGTTTGTGATGATTATTACTTTAGTTGAAAATGGTCTCATAATGTTGAATCTAAACCACTGAACCTCTGCTGATGATAACTCTGGTGTTTTCTGTTGCAGCGGTTGTTGACGGATGAACGACTGTGCCAGTCGGAGGCACTCTACGCCTTCCTCAGCCCGTCTCCAGAGTACCTCAAAGTAACATGGTCTCTTTGTCCAAATTGAAATCAAAAACACACGTTTTTGTTGTTTTTCAAACCGTGGCTTCCTGTGCTGCTCTGTGTTTAGGTGATGTCTGTTCAGAAGAAGTCCTCCTTCTCTTTGGCCTCCTTTCTGGAGAGGTTACCTGGAGATTTCTTCTCCCACACTGAGGTAGACGCCGGCTTCCCACTCTTCCCATCAGGTCGGATGAGAACTTGAGATGCTTAGCTTCACCCTGTGTGTCACGGCTGTGATTGGTTGTCTGCAGGAGGACGGGGACGATGACAGCGACTTGTCGGACTACGGCGATGAGGCGGACGGGCGCAGAAATGCCCTAGCTGAGCCCTGCTTCATGCTGATCGGGGAAATCTTCGAACTCAGAGGAAGTGAGCTGCTAACGCTAACAGAATCATGACCTGAAATTACGTCTGAGTGGATTCATCTAACTGCTTTTGTGTCTCGTTTTCCTGCTCAGTGTTTAAGTGGGTGAGGAAGACTCTAATTGCACTAGTCCAGGTTACATTTGGACGAACTATCAACAAGTAAATACCGGCTTTTTTTCGTGGGATTCTATCTGGGTTTTCGTATGTGTGTGATGAGCGCTAACGTGACACATTCCTTCCCTCAGACAGATCCGGGACACTGTAAACTGGATCTTCTGTGAGCAGATGCTGGTGTGCTACATCAGTGTGTTCAGGGACACCTTCTGGCCTAACGGGAAGCTGGCGCCTCACGCCAAGGTCCGGACCGACTCAGAACGCAGCGAAACCAAGGAGCGGGCTCAGCAGAAACTCCTGGACAACATTCCAGGTAGCAGCGTCTGGAAACTTCCTGTGTACCGCTTTGACTGCTCACATTTCAGCTGCTGACTTCACACGAATCTGTTGATGTCTAGTATGGAAAACCATCACTAATTTATTCACAACTGCAAGATTAAAGATGAATTTCATTATTATTATTAAACTGATTTGTTACGCCTCACAATCAAACACTTCTTTCTCTTAGTTTATCACAACATCATTGTGTTTGGAACATGAGAAAGTCTGGTGAAGTCCGAGGTAGAGCTGGGCGATAAATCAGTTTTATTGATTCATCAAACTTTAGATTTTTGAAGATTTAATTATTGGAACATCTGTATTTTTCTTTGTTTTTTTTGTTTTTTAACTAGTGCACTCCAGGTTTTCCCCCAGTGCATTACAAGCCTGGCGGGCCACCAGGCTTTACTGGTGCCCCCACCAGGCTAATCATTACTTATTTTTTAAAATCTTTTTAAAATGTTTAAAGACTTTATAGTTGGTGACCAGGTATTAATCTTCCAAGCTTTTGATAACTCATAAATATCAAGTTTCAAATTTCCTGTCAACTTTAAACATTTTTTAACTTAAAAACACGACGGACCGCTGGATGAATGACTGCCCTAACGCCCAAACACCAGGCTTAGCACGTTTTCTGGGCCTAATTCTAGGAGTATGAAAACTTTTGCGAGATTTTGTGTTCAGTAATTTGTCGTTTACTCATTACACATATGGACAGATATGTATGTGTTTTTGTTTCGATCAGATGCACTAGCAAACCTTGTCGGCCAGCAGAACGCTCGCTTCGGAATCATCAAGATCTTCAACGCCCTGCAGGAAGCCAATGCCAACAAACATCTCATCTATGTAAGATGGACAGGCGAAGCGTCAAACCAGATTCAGGTATTTTTATTATCCAGAGCTAAAGGGCTATGTGTAACGACTCGGTGTGCGTTTCTGTGTCAGGTGTTGATGGAAATGCTGCTGAAGGAGCTGTGTCCTGAGCTGAGAGCAGCAGCCGAGAACAGCTGAGCACAAACACAGAACATCCCTGGATCACCAAGCGGACGGGGGACTTGGAGGGTCTCCACCGGCAGCGTCTGTTCCTCGCCCTTTCTGTAGCTGACCAATCACCGAGTGCCAAGCGAGAGACAGGAAATGAGGTGTTGTGGGGTGAAGGCTGTGAAATGACGGCAAACCGAGCTCACAGCAGCCTGAAACGAGGGGCTGGCACTTCATTTTGTTCAACGAGGACACTAGTTGTATCTGTAATAGAGAGCCACGTTCACTAAAGAACAAGTTTTAATTTGTGAGATTATGTAACATGTTTTTTTTTGTTTGTTTGTTTATTTTTATGTTTCTTTAGTTGTTTTCTGGAGACACAGACATTCCAAATCGATACTAAAAAACAAAATGTTCTGGTGTAAATCTCATAAGTTGAAGTGGAAATCTTAATGTTTGGACATGGCAAGAAGTGATCTGAAAAAAAAAAGTAAAAGGAAAAAAAAAGGAAAAGAAAAACGCAGACCGGACCGATGACGGAGTCCGGATCTTCTGTTCCCCAGGAAAAGTCTCGGCACTCTGACCTCTGAACATTCCTACACAAAGCCTGAGCAACAACACTTGTGTTCTGTGATTCTTGTTAAGACTTGGAATCGTGCAATATAATTTCATGTGAACGTCATTGTGATAATTTTATTTATGATTATTATTGATAGATTTATTTTATTTTTACCAAAAAAATTGTTTAGAGAGCGTTTATATGAGCAATAAATGACAAACAAAAGCTGATGACTTGCATTCTTTTTATTATATATTGAAGAGGGAGTAAAATTTAGTTTTTCTTATTTTTTATGTATAACTAATAATTTGATAAACTCTTTAAAATATTACAAATAAAATTTTCAGACTGTAGTTCTGTGTTAAGGTAATTCTGAAACGATAAACTGGTGATCAAGGTGGATGTATAAAAGAACATTTCTGCTAAAATAAAGTTCCCAGAAAAAATCAGACATTTTTGATCTCCAAAATTTGAAACTTTCCAGTATTTTTTTCTAGAAATTTTTAGATTAATCTGAAATTTGTAAAGTTTCTTTTTTATGGCTATTTTTCTACTTGTGAAACTCAAATTCCTTTTTGTCCTTCTAGAAAATATGAATAATCTCAAAATTTAAGTTTTTTTCTAGAAAATTTCCGGCTTCAGAAACTCCACATTTTTCCTCGTCAATTTTTGATATTAATCTAAAATTTTAGGAGTGTTTTTGATGAAAGTTTATACCTTTTTTTTTATTTATTTATTTATTTTTTTTGCAATAACTAATGCCGTCATAAATATGTCATTAGAGCTAATGTTAAATTTCAGAAATTGCTCAATTTAGCTAATTTAAGCCATAAGCTTCCACATCTTGTGATGGTGATGGTGGGGACAAAAACACGTGGAACAATAAAAATAATCAATTGTGTTGAGAACAATATTGTATCAGTGAAGCAACTCTTTACTGAAAATCAAACTACTCAATATTACTACTTTTACGGTGAATTTTTTTTTAAATTTCGGCTGCACTGACAATCCACATCTTGACATGAATAGCAATATTCATGTCAAGTTATTCATACTCTGAACCAAAAGCACAACAATAAAAAGTTTAATTCTTTTATGCAGAATTTCATTCGAAGGGAGTGGGATGTGCTATGTATTTACTACCTATCTTATGTGTATTATGTTTATGTGCGTTGTCTTTCACGTAGTATTTTTATTTATTATTATTAATTTTTATTTATTTATTTTTACAAAATAACCTTTTATTAAATATATTTGGAAAAGTACCAGTGGATTCAAAGAATGGGCTTTTATTTTGACAGTCAAGAGCCTAAACCGGAAGTACTTCGATTTCCAAAACTGTTGTGCTACAGCGTAAACCTGCAAAAGCTGCGCTAATTCAGCGAACCTCTTGAGCTCGGGTGCCGCTAAAGGTAAACTTGTTTAAGTTTCTGGCGGTAGAAAGGCGATTCTAAAAGGGACAAAATAAGTTTATAATTACTAAGAATAACTTGATTTATTTACCGTACAGTTCACACTGACTCGCTTTGCTTTTGAATAAAGCTAACGGGTTAGCTTGGATAACCTTAAGCTAATTTTAAACAAACGTTCTCTTCTTTATTATTGACACTTTAACATGTAGCTGATAAAGTAGTACAGAAGAGACGACGAGTCTCGCCGTTACATAAAGCGGCTAAACTAGCTGATTCTCTCTGAAGAATGTGACGCTGCCCATTGTCGTTGCCTGACAACGAAGATTTAAAGAGACAGTAACCTCCTGAGCGCTTAAGCCCATGTAAGTGTCGCTAACAAGCTCTCTTTCCATATTCACTTTAGATAGTTATGTGAACCGAAGTGGGTGGCTGATTTCCTGGCTTCCTTGAGTACTTTCTACTGAGGGAAATGGATGATGAGCTGGAGAACTTCATCAGAGAACGCAAGGCGCGAGTGGCCGAGGATAAGGCCAGTCTAGAAAAAGACCCTCCCTACATGGAAATGAGGGTATGTCTGCTACAGTTGTCCCTATAAACCTGTCTCTTACATACCCTGTTGGGACATATAAAGGTTAAATTATTTAAAGTTGACGAGAACACATTTGTAACAATAAAATCGTAAATAATAGGTGCTTGTTCGTGTAACGCATATACTCATGGCCAAACCTGGCAGGAACACAAATGTTGTAATTTGTGGCTTCAAAATAGTTTAACTGCTGACAATAGCTGCTTAAAAACCTATTGAAGTGTTAATATGTGTCTGAGCCTTCTGCAGAACAAGTTGACATTATAAACCATCACAATAAACACTAATGCTGCAGGTTTTTTTTACTACGTGGCCATGGCTGTTCTGCCCTTCCACGGGGTGTTTTGTTTTTTACGGGTTTTTTAGGTCAGTGTGGAAAATCACCACAAGATGACGATATAGATATGTTTTCCACCTCCCCAAGAAAAGTCAAACAACAACTTTAAAGTTCCTTCACATCTTCCATGGCGAAATTTCACTCTTGAAATTCCCAGAATTCTCTCCTGTTTCAAGACGCTATTTCAAGGTTTAAATTAAAAGAAAAGTGGTAAATTGGTTCTGGAAGGAAGAAAAGAAAATGACAGCTAAAAATAGTTGGGATGGATGGATGGAATAATGAATATTAAATGATTATAAATTCTGAATGCTACTTAAATCAAATTCTATATTATCCTTGTAAAACTTAACATATATTTTCTGTAAAACTAGCAATCCTGTCTTCAGCTTTAATCCAAAAGCTTCCTCTGGTTTTGACTGACAGGCAAAACCCTGCAGAAACTACGGGTCCACCGTGAAAGAGAACATCCCTCCAAGGATTAACATCCAAGTAAAAGGTATTTTTTTTTTGTTTTACACAAAATAGTAAAATAAAGAACTTTGGAAACATTCAGAGAAATTAAAGGAGCAGTACTATATAAAATCTGCTGAGCTACTTTATTCAAGCCACTTTTCAGTGCAACAATGATAAAAAGAGCAGTAGCTTTCTAAAGAGACAGAGGCCTAATTTCAAGGCTATACATTATGAAGTCAAATTTCTTTTAAATCACATTTGATATATAAAGCATTTTCTATAATGACTTGACTGTATAAAAGCTATAAAAGAGCACTATGCGCCTGGAAAACACATAATGCTGTCCTTAAAAAAGACAGGAAATCTGTCACGTTTCTTTGACAGAAACGGCTCATATTTTTCCTAAATGGATGAGTGGGTTGTGTTTTCAGCATAAAACCTTTGCCCACAGTTTGCCTCTGCTTCAAATTGCTTGGGTGTGTTTGACAGACGAGAGCTGCAGCGTTGGTCTGCCGCTCGGCGCCGAGTACGAGAAGAAGAAACACCGGCTGCAGCATGAACTGCGGATGGACTACAGACGCTACATGGCTCAGGTTACTGCCTCTCTCAGTCACTCACACACAGATCATGTGTCAGGAAAAAAAAAAAAACAAGATTTAGTGAATAGATTTACCTTAATGCTTCTCAAAGTGGGAATCACCTGTTTAGTCCAATATTATTATTATTTCTCTGTTTGGTGATTTCTAACGATGTGGTTTCTGCTGCAGCTCCAACCTGACCTCCGAAAAAACGGGAATAGTCACTTTGTCACTGGACTTCTAATAGGTAATGAGGCTTTTCCGCTTGCTTTTTTTTTTTTTTTTTTTAAAGCAAAAACTATAAATTATGATGAGCATTTTTCAGAATAAACATATAAAATCCAATGTTTCAGATCTTAAATCTTGTGACTTATTCCCTAAGAATAAAGAGTTGAGCTTGCTCTCTTTATGCGTCCAGGAGCGGCTGACACAAACGAGGCTTTGCAGAGGAAGAAGGAGCGTTACAGGCAGGAGCTGCAAGAGCAGATAGCTGAGCAGCACCGCAACAAGAAGAGGTACAGCAGGAATGTTCACACCTCTTCAAGTCCATAGCATTTTATCAACCGCTAGCGTTTGGTACAATAACATAATACAGTAACAAATTACGAAATAAGCAATAAACATTACATTTTGTCAAATCATTAAGAATAACCATCATATGCTGATATATACAGATTTTCCTCTATTTAGCTCTAAGGTTCTTCTGCAAAGTATTGAACCAAATGGACTCAGTATGAATGCATTAAGATGCATAGAAGTTTGTGGTTGTAAAGTGACAAAATGAACAGAATTCTTGTGTGTGAATATGTTTGCATGGTTTATCCTCAGAGAATAACTGTGTTTGTTGAAGCATGATGTGTTTCCATGCGTCGTCGTTGCAGGGAAAAGGATCTGGAGCTGAAGGTTGCTGCGACAGGAGTGAACGACCCTGAGAAACCGGTCAGCCGTCACATGATATACAGTCTGCAGTGGCACCCCCAAGTGGGGGGCCAATGAGGTCGATGGCCCCCCACTTGAAAAATGCTGGCCATCCCAGAGAATCATGTTTATGTCATAGAAAATAATACAAAGTCATCTTCTTCAACTAAGATGTAAATGTAAAACCAAACCAATACAACACATAATTATATATAAATAACGTTTTAGCTGTGTCCTGCTAAAAAAATTTCCACCTCTATGAACATTTTCTGGTGGTGCCACTGATAGTCTGGGTTCAAATCACTGCGTGTTTCTGTTGAATCATTTTTAATAAATTTGTTCTCCGGCCCGCTGCAGCCGGACCGAATCAGACAGTTGGGTCTGAGCAGGAGGGAAGTTCCTGGTGTGACCGAGCCTTCAGCGACAGCAGAGAGCGGCTCGTCGTCCAGAACCACAGCCAGTGCAGAGGGAGCTGTGGTCAGAGGGAGGGACATGCCTCCTCCTGGGCTGCCACATGTTGCCTTCCAGTCCCCTCTGCTGGAGTACAGCTCCGCTCTGGGCCTGGGGGAAGGACATCTGTCTCCCAGCAGCCAGCACAGCAGCCTGTCCACAAACGCTAGGGAGACACACAGGTATAATGGGAACTTCTTTGGACTCCTTCACAATAAAAGCTTGGTCTTTAACAATGTTTCTTGTTATGATGCCTTGACTCACTGTCTGTCTGGGTTCTTCCAGAAACGCCTTCCTTCCTCAGCCGCCCTCCTCACTAAGGGAAGCTTACAGAACCCCATACGGAGAACCCCATCAGTACTACGGAAACAGGAACCTGCTTGACCCAAATATGGCCTATTGTAAGAGCTGCTCTCTCTTTCTGCACTGCAGGACAATTAAAGGGGCAGTATTATGTAAAATCAACTTTTTTGAGCTTTATATCTTGTTGTAA